ATGACAAACACAAATTGAACTGACTGACACAAATTGACTGAGACTCTGACCCCGGGCTGAGAATAAAGTAACCTTTCATGTTTTCTCACACAGAGCTTTAAATTTCCCGGTGTTCATGCTCGCAAGAGATAGCAATTGATATTATATAAACGTTTTTTAAGATTTCTTGGTCAAAATATGAAATGGTAGAAAACAACTCAACATTTCCAAAAGCTCTTCTTGCTGCGTTGCCGTTATTATAGCTCCCTCTTCAAAGCAAATGTTGTATCCTTTTCCGTTAATTTTTTAAACGAAACTAATGCAAAGAGGCGTCGTGCTATCATACTCTGAAGCAAGCTCAGAAGCCAATTTTCTTTTTGATCGAGGACCAGCATCATAATTTAATTGCTTTCGACCTGGTCTTTTAGGTGATTTTAGGTTGATTTTAATTTATAGCCAGATAAGTTCTCTTTACTTATTTTGTAATAATAATCTTTTATAGCGCTTTGTTGTCGCTTGTTGCTGCGCCGCACTTCCAGCAGCTTGGAATTGCTGACCTCATGTATTTTGTGAAGGAGCAAAAATGAGCAAGAAGTCCTTTTATACCCTGAACATTTTATATATATACATATAAGATGAATATATTTCTGAGCATCTATGTTTGTACCTGTTAAGCCTGTTAACCCTTGCGCAATATTAGACATTAATCACTTTCTAAATTACACACTTGGCAAAGTATTCCAAAAAAATATTCAGCATTAACCCATACTTTAATCTGCAGCACAAGGCCATTAGCATGGCCGAAGCAAACAACACGCAACAGGCAATGGTCAGCAGCAGTGAACAATTTAATGGTCGCCACTCGGCATCACCAACACGTACTATAGAGTCGCACGACTCGACAACGGGCAGCATGGATACGATTGTGGATCGCAGTCTGAATCGTAATGATCTGTTGCAAGCGACCAATACCATTGAGAAAGAAACCAATGCGAACATCGCGACCAATCGCGACGGTAGCTTGACCAAGTCACAAATAGTGATACTGCAACAGGATTCACAGCAGGGTCAGCAGAAGCAAGAGCAAGTGGAACTGAATGAACGTCAGCATTTTGACGCTCAGAGTCACATATATTCCAGTCCTGTCTACGATGAGAAACCTTCGCTTCCGTTGATGCTAACGGCTGCTACATTGCTGGCCAATGAATTTAATATGAACGATGATAAGGGTGATCATACAAAGAAATCCAAGCTCATAAGCCACGAAGAGTTTAAGCACCAACTGGAAGAGGCATCAGTTTTACGTAAACCGGTCAAGAGTGTTAGCAATACCATCGATTCTCGCATCAACAAGAAGCAACGCTGCCCACCGGAATATATTGAGTATAAGGGCAGCAGTGGCAGTGGTACCAGTGATATTGCAGCCAATTGTTCCACGTTGTTAGCAACGGCGCGACGCAAGCATCGGGCCAGCAATGAATGCTGCTCCGCATTTCCATTGCAAATCGTGTTAGGCACTTTACAACTAGTTTTGGCCATTTCATTGGTGGCGCTCGGCTCCCTGTTAATAGTGCGCGACGCGACCTTGTCAATGGCCGGTTGCGGAATTTGGACTGGTTTGATTGCAGCCGTCACCGGCTCATTGGGCGTGGTCAGCATACGCAAGACCCAAACGGCTTTTCTTGCGCTCAGTTTGGTATGCATTGCCAGCAGTACGTTGGCGCTGGCCATTTCTGGTGTGGGCCTGTCGCGTGACCTCAATCGCATGGCCGAGCAAAAGGGTGAACAGGTAAAGCATAAATTCATATTACTTTTCACTTTATTGGTATATACATATGTTGCTATTGCTATTACTATTATATGCAGTTCGACTTGATGAATGCCCATGACGAGGTTCCAGCTGCTTGTGTATTAATATTTGTACTATTTTTACACTTTGTGATCAGCATTGTTTCGGTTTATCGCTGCGCCCTGCAGATTTGCACAACGTGAGTACTTATTTATAATTTAAATTAGTAATTTAAAATAAGCAAGCTCTAGTCAAGGCTTCGAGATTTCCTGAACCTGTCGAGGAACTGATATTTCAATAAATAAGCGGGTCTTTTTGTTTACACAAGCAACACTACCTACACTCGTGCACACACACAGGCAAACACTCATAAACACTCTTCTGATAGCGACGCGTTCAAACTTACGGACATACGGACGGACGGACGAACGGACAGAGCCAAATCGACTCAGCTCGTCGTCAAGAATAAATATACTTTGTGGGGTTATATAAGCAATTGCTGATATTAACAAGTAAGAAAGCTCTAGTCGAGACTGCTCGACTACGAGATCCCCTGA